CCCGTTGCTCACATTGCCTTGCCCTCTGGACGGACCCATCTTCCAGACCCATGCTCGGATGTAAAGGTATGAGTAGCACAAGGCGTAAAACGTTGGACACGTCATTAGGACACACTCTCGCTCACTGCCGCGTGCGCAAGGGCGAGGCTGAGAAGACACTCTTCTTTTGCACTGTGTGCGGGGCGTACCTCTCCAGCCGCTGCCACAAGCTCGGACAGGAGCGTGGTCAACGTCGGCTGCGAGGAGCACCGACCACGTTCCGACGCATTTACGAAGGACTCTACCCGCGCTACCGCGACCCGTCGCAGCTCTCGACCAGCACCCGTCGAGGCAGTGCGTTCTTGTGTTTTGCCGCCAGCCAGCCGCCACCGCCAGAGGCCGGAGCCTCTGGACTCAGTGCTGCTGGCCTCATCTCCACGCCAGGCATGCTCGCGCTGCAGGCGAGGATACGTGCCAAGGAGATGGCAGCGGGCGGAGTGGTGCCAGGCGTGCCCTCTGTGCCTGGTGAACGCCCGTCGCCACCGAGTCAGATGCCCACCGACGCACAGGTTCGAGAGGGCGGATCTTTCGGCGAGTTTCAAGCTGACGAGGAGGCATCGCGCTTCCCCTTTGATGAATCGGATGGGGGTGGCTTGGGGCCGAGTGGGGCGGGTGGGCGCGGAGGTTCTCTCTTGCGCGCGACGGTTGCGCGCCTCGCCCGTGCCGAGGGCGAGGCGCCCCTCGCGCCACCGCCTGTCGCCGAGTCTCCCGACTCTGATTGATTTAGGGCAGCTCTTGTGAGCTCTCACTCTTCGTAGTAGTCTCGCATGGCTGCCCGCCGTTTTTGTTTGTGGTTTTGGTCGGCCCTGCTCATTGTTTCATGACAGCCACTGCCGTCTTTGACCCGCCGCTAGGCAGTGGCATCGATCGCGGTGGCTGCTTTTCAATGGGTTCCGCCTGCCACTGTCCACCATCGTTTGTTTGTTCAAGGTTTCAGAGTTCATGCCCCTAGGGACCGATGACGAAAATTACCTCTGCTGCTGTCAGGGTGCTTTGCTGGAGGGACTTTGATGGACAATCTCGGGAGGTCCGTGCGGTCCCCCCCCCACCCAGCGGGGTGAGCCAGCTGGGTGGCGTACCGATTCGCTTTCCCCCTGTCTTATCCCCCAGGGAAACAAGCAGAAACGGCATGAGCATAGATGTTCCGAGGTCCGCGCAGATTTCCTTGATCGGCGCTGCAGCTCCCCCGGCGGCGCCTCCGGCACCGCCCCGTGGCGCGCTCCCTCCACGCGCCAGGGATTGTAGGCGGTTGGCGAACAATTCAAGATGGAAAACTCTGCACGAACAAAAGACAGTCTGTGCATTCAAATGTCAGAATGCAGTTATGTGAAATGGAGGGGAAGAGGAGCATCGGTGATACGTTGAACAACATCTGGGTTATTATCCCGGCGAAGAGCCCCAGCATATGCAGTTTGAGTATCGCCGTTGTGGGTATCGGCTTCGGTGGATTTCCTTATGGGGCCACGAAGCGTGCGAAGCGTGTGCCGAGATGGGGTGGGCCATGCGCGCGCTGCTACTGGGGTCTTGGGTCTTGGGTCTGCTCCCCCCTCTTCTATGGGGCCACGAAGCGTGTGTGGGGTGGGTGTGCCGACATGGAGCTGGGCCGCCACCCGAGCGTCGCCACTAGGGCCTTCGGTGGAGCTACCTATGAGACTACGAAGCGTGTGAATGGGTGTGCGGAAATGGGCGGGGGGGACGCATCCGAACGTCGCCATTGGGGCCTTCGGTGAAGCTCCGTGTGGGGCCACGAGGCGAGTGATGGGCTATGCCGAAGTAGGTGGGGAGACGCATGCGCACGTCGCCACTGGGCCCTTCGGTGGAGCTCCCCATGGGGCCACGAAGCGTGCGAGGCGTGTGCCGACATTGGCGGGGGGGACTCCTTACTGGGACCACGAAGCGCTGTACTGGGTGCGGTTGACGCGTGCGAACGTCGCCACTGGGGCCTTCGGTGGAGTTCCATACATGGGGCCACGGAAAACGCCGTACTGGGCGGGCCGGACGCGTGCGAACGTCGCCATTGTGGCCTTCGGTGGAGCTTCCCTATTGGGCCACGAAGCGCTGTACTGGGCGGGGCGGGCGCGTGCGAACGCTTCAAGTGTGGCCTTCAGTGGAGCTTCCATATTGTTCCACGAAGCGCTGCACTGGGAGGGGTGTTCGCATGCGAACGTTGCCAGTGGGGCCTTCGGTGGGGTTCCCTGTGTGGGGCTACGACGCGTGTGAGGAGTGACCTGGTTGGCATGCGGACAGCGGGGGCACGCTGGGGAGGAGGGAGGAGGCGGAGGGGGACGAGGAGGGGGAGGAGGGAAAGGAGGGGAAGAGGAGGCGGATGGGGAGGAGGAGGGGGAGGAGGAAAAGTACGGGGAAAAGGAGGAGGAGGAGGAGGAGGAGGAGGAGGACGAGGAGGGAGGGAAGGAAGGAGACGCGGGGCGCTGTCTCGTCACGACGAGGACCCAGCACCACAGGACGGTCGGGAGCCACTGAATGAGCACAGTGTTGCTTGTATCCCCCTGGGCCTCTCTAGATGCATCCGGCTCCACGGGTTCGCGGCCTGGGCCGCTGCCCCGCGATGCTGCCGTGCATCCGCAGGATCGCGCTCCAGAGTCCAGACCGGAGCGGAAATGCATACGCTCGCCCCTCGTGGACGGAGGAGGGTCCAGCGCCGGCTGCGAGCAAGCTGCGCGGAGCTCCAGAAGTTGATGCTCACGCTGGTGCCGCCTCGTCTTCTCCTGTGGAGGGCATCGCCGCCGTGGCTGGACGCGGCTCGAGAGACTGGACCAGCAGGGGGGCTGGCAGGTTTCGAACGGAGTTCTGGCCAGACCGGGGGGGATGAGGGGGAGGACGGGGAGGAGGAGGAAAAGGGTGAGGTCAGAGGAGGAGGTCAAAGGAGGAGGAGGAGGAGGAGGAGGAGGAGGAGGAGGAGCAGGAGGAGGAGGAAGAGGACGAGGACGAGGAGGAGGAAGAGGAGGAGGAGGAGGAGGAGGAGGAGGAGGAGGAGGAGGAGGAGGAGGAGGAGGAGAGGAGGAGGAGGAGGACGGGGAGGAGGACGGGGAGGAGGATGGGGAGGGGGAGGAGGACGGGGAGGAGGAGGAGGAGGAGGAGGAGGAGGAGGAGGAGGAGGAGGAGGAGCCCTTTCCTCGTTACCACGGCTGGATTCGCCTCGAAGTCTTGGTCCATCTGCTCTGCCCCTTCAGAAATCGAAAATCGGAGCATATACATTACCAGTGGCGGGCTGTTTTTCAATCCCAAGACATTTTGAGGGTCGGGGCGACGTCGGGGTGGTGTGGTGTATATTTGTTTCCCCGTTTTCCGGGGGGGGGGAACAGCGAAGAGTGCGTATACCAGGGCCCCGTATACACCAGGATCCGCTTGTTTGTGCCAAGTTCAGTGCGGGGCCCGGAGGCCGCCCCCCTCCGATCGGACGCAACTCCTGGGAGGTCACATTCTGATCTCGCCCTGGTTCGAGATCCGGCGTGATCCCGCTTAGTCCCATTTGATCCGGCTTAGTTCCGCGTAATCCCGCTCAATCCTGCTTGCCTCGGCTCAATCCGAGGCCCACTCCAGCGCCACAGGCCCCCACTGGGGCTTATAATCCTCCTTCGTCCTTCCGACGAAGACCTCCCAGCAGTTGCCTCCTAGCTTCAGCGAGGCCACCCGCTCGCCCCCTCCGAGCCCCCCTCCAGGAGGAGGGGCCCTCCTCCCTGCGCTCGGAGACGGCCATGCAGGCGATCCTCTAGTGGTGTTTGTCGACGCCAGCGGAGGCGCTGATTCTCGGGACCGACGGCTACGGCGTGTCACTTTGTCAGCAGTGGTTATTAGTGATTTCGAGGGTCCTCACGTCGGGTCTGCTATCTTCGGTCCTCTGCCTGGTGGTATACAGTCTGTACCGAGGGGCGAGATCTGGGGATTACTGCTGGCTCTCAGGCACTCTCGGGGGCCCTTGGTGTATGTCACTGGCAACAGTGGAGTAGCTGATGGGTGGTATCAAGGATTCTGGAGGGTTCCTCAGAGAGCCAATGCTAACGTCTGGAAGCTCGTAGGCCAGGAGATGCAGTTTCGCGACCAGCCGCAGGTATGTGTCATTCAAGTACCATCCCATATCGAAGCTGATCAGATCCCAGGCTCGGACTTCCCTGAGTTTTTGGTTCTTGGAAATCACATCGCAGATGAGTTCGCGAGCACTACTGCGAAAAATGTTGGCTCTCACCAGAGATTCGGTCACGGGTCATGAGAGCGGAGGTGGACGCAAGCTTGGTTCGTCGGAGGTTGTTGCGCTCGACGCTCGAGGCGATGACAGCTCGCCCGAGCCCCAGCCGAACCTGTACGACAAGGCCGCCTCCCCCTCCTGCTCCCTCCTCCATTGCATTGTTTGCCTCCCAGCACAGCCTTGACAGCAAAGGCACTAAGGGTTTGAGGTGTCGAGGCCAGTCGTCTCAGGAAGCTCCCACCGCGTGGTTGCATTCCCCGTGTTTCGAGTTGATAGGAGTAGGGTCCGACAAGTTTCAGTTGCCGAGGGGGAAACATGTTCATATAGGAGGAGGCTGGGTCCACCCGTCCCACCAGCTTGTGTGCGCCCCTGCCCATCGAATATGGATTTGTAGCACTTGTGGTTTCTTCGGAGGTGAGAAGCTCAGCAGCAGTCTTGCTGAGCCGTGCTCCAAGCCTCTCAGCACGGCTCGGAGACGGTACCTCACTAATTTCGAGCTTGGGAGATATCCCGAGGATCAGGTTTCGAAGGTCTCGAACCGAGCTAAGGCCTCGTAGTTCGTTTCCCTCCCTTTCGTATCGCACCGCGATGGAACCCATTCCCATTCCATTCCACTCCTCCTCCTCCCCCCATCCCCCCTCCTCCTCTTCCTCCTCCTCCTCCTCCTCCTCCTCCTCCTCCTCCTCCTCCTCCTCCCCCTCCTCCCCCTCCTCCGCCTCCTCCTCCGCCCCCCCCCCTCCGGGTGTGCGCCGCCGAGGTCCGGGAGCTCTTCCAGCTCGCGCGCACCAAGAAGGCGTGCATCCTGTTCATCGACGAGGCGGGCGGCGCGCCCACGGGGCCCTCTCGCCGGGCCTGCCGCCTCTCCCCCCCCTTCCTCCTTTCGGGGCGGGGCGGGCGAGGGGATCAGGGGCCGGGTTACGGGGGGGGGGGGGGGGCGCCAGGCCTCCTAGATGGGGTCCGAGTATCTGGACGCCCGAAATGGGCACGGAAAGAATAGGCACAATGCCCAACAGGAGTTCCTGTTCATTTTGAACAGGACTCGCTGTCCGCGCCGCCGCGGCCTGTGTCCATTCGAGACAGAAGGCCGCCTGCCCATCAGCGGCCGCTGTTGGTGTGGGGCAACATTTGTCGTTGGGCATTGTGCCCATTCTTTCGGTACCCATTTCGGGTGTCCAAAGAGAGTAGGCGGGGTCGGAGGATCGCGCCGCATCGCCGATGCATCGGCGATGCGGCTCGATGCGGAGCCCAAGTCTCTTCGCGCAGGCGTCGCCGATGCATCGCCGACGTCGCCGATGCATTACCAGTGCATCGCCGATGCGTCGCCGATGCACGATACATCGACGATGCATCGTCGATGCATTGGCGATGCGGCGCGATCCTCCGACCCCATGCACTCGGAACCCATCGAAGTGGCCGCTAGGGATGGGCTCAGGGGGGGGATGCAGTTTCGAGGTTCGAGGTTTCTGGACGTTTTCGGGCGTTTTCGAGGCAGGTTCTCGGAAGTTAGTCGGGTTGTTGCTCGGGCGGCTTCCGGATGTGTTTGCACGTATTCGAATGTTTATATTATATATATATATATATATATATATATATAAATATATATATATATATATATATATATATATATATATATATATATCTATATATCTAATATATATATTCTATATATATATCCAAACGTTTTCGGGGGTTTTCGGACGCTTCTGGGATGTAGGTGCGAGGTTTCCAGACGTTTTCGTGTGTTTTCCGTGGCATCCCATCTTCGGGATGCTGTCCGGCGAGGGGACTGCAGGGGCACGTTCGGGGGGGAAGGGCTCGGGGTCAGAAGCTTGTTTGGGGGACTTTCCCTGGGGCCCACACCGCACGGATCGGTTCGACCCCAGTTCGAGTCGAGTTCGATTCGAGTTCGATTCAAGGTCGATTCAAGTTCGACCCGGGTTCGATTCAGGGTCGACTCCGATCGGCGGGCGTTCGACGCAGCTTCGGCGCAAGAGTTGAGTGAGTGTCTCGAAGAGGGTCCCCAGATTGAGCATTCAAGGGGGGTTGTAGTTTCGAGACTCGATGTTTCTGGACGCTTTCGTCGGATGCTCTCCAGCCTCGGGATGCTCTCGCCGAAAGCCTTTTTGGAGTGCCCGGGTTGTTCCGAACGGCCGCTGGGGAGTCGAGTTCTGACCCGAGAGCCAAGGAGCAAACGTTACGGGGGCATCGGTTGAGCGGGGGATGCATCGACCCGAAGTCGCCCATTCTCGGACATTGGAGCATATAATGCATTACCTGTGGCGGGCAGTTTTTCAATCCCACATCCTTTCCGCGAAACCTGACGCAAGTTTTCCAGCGCCGCGCTGGCGCCCCCAGACCCCAATGTTTTCATGTTGATGCCGAAATGCTTGACTTGCAATTTTCCGACGGGCGTCCGCGCACCGCGCCGCGCGCGCAACTGAACGTTGCAATTGGGGGCGAGGGGGGGTCGGCAAAACCTGCGTTTATGTTTCGCGGGGGGTTGCAGGACTTTGTCAGGGTCGGAACGACGTCGGGGTGGTGCGGGGTGGACGGGTTTCCCCGCTCTCCGGTGGAAGCAACGAAAATGGTATGCACCAGGATGCCGTGTACACCAGGATCCGCTTGCCTGTGCAACAACCTGCAGTGCAGGGCCACGAGAAGCGTCGGTGCATAGAGCTCGGCTCCCCACGGCGACCCCGAGCAGTCGCCCAACTTCATCGCCACTGAGGGGCCCCGTGGCCCGCCCCGCCCAGGTAGCGGTTGGTCGCCGGCCTATCGGTAACGTGCCGCCGATCCTCAAGCAGTGGCGAAGCGTGTTGGCTTGCCTATAGCCCTACCAAACAATGTTATAAGAACCTTTTGTGGTTCCCACGAAATGTTCTTAGAACATGTCTGGCTGGGACAGTCTTGTTCCAACACATCGGGTTTATGTTCTAAGAGCACTGTTTCGTTCTTAGAACATGTCGTGGTATGACTCTAGGAATGCCGGGACGGTCGGTCCCTGCTCACGATCCAGGATCGATGCTGCTCGCCGTGAGACGAAGAAGAAAAAATGGCGCGGGCCCAGCGCGGATCCAAGATATCCGCGCGGAGCGCCAAAAGCTGATGTTTAGGACGTTTTTTGTTGTTCTACTGACTGGTCAGTCCCTAACGTTCTCCCTAAAGGACAGGACGCTCGGGCACGGCTGGGCGCAACAGGATGTGCACTTGTGCGGGCTTTTGAAGTTCGCTTAACGGGTGTAAGCGAGACGTCGTTGGTCGGAGGTGCGCCTTTGCAGCCTGACTATTTCAGATGGTCTTCGGTCACCTGATGTGCGCTCGCAGAGAAGGCACCTGCCACAACAGCGTTTGGAACGACTTGTGCGCCGATGGCCCCTCCTCTCGGATCGGGGTGGGCGACAAGAGGGACACTCGGGCCTGGCTGGGTGGAGCAGTGGACACAGCAAAACCGGCAAGTTGTGTACAGATGGCGCGGTGCAGCAGGGTTCCTTCTCCTTTCCGGTGCACTGCGCGCCGCCTTCGGGCCAGCTCGCCCGACGCGGCTTTCCGCTCACATAGGCGCCCCCCCCACGCGGTAGTGGGATTATGTCAAGCGGCGTCACAGCAGGCAGCAGTTGCAAGCATCGAAGGCGGTTCCTCTCGGGGCTCTCGATTGAAATGTTCCAGGCAAGAACAGATCCCATTCGCAACGTTTGCGAAGCAGTCGCACAGATAGAGGGCCGCTGCGTTTCAAAATGGGGCCCCATTGATCTCTCTGGACCGGATGTCCTACTTCTTCGTTTCTTGGAAGCTGGGCACATGCAGTGCAGGTCTTTTCCGAACCAGGACGCGCGCCTCAGCCGCAGGCCCAAAGGGCGCGCGTGCTGAAATCGTTCGAAAGTCCTTGCGCGCGCGCTATCGCAAGAACCCCTTGCAGCAGGAAAGGGGCGAAGTGCACGCGCGCGCGTCGTCGCGCGCGCACGGCGAAATCTCTCAAACACTTCAGGTTTCGCAGGGATTTCAAAACCGAGCGCCCCGAAAACATATCAAACGCGTGGCTTCGGAACACGAATTTCCACGGAAAAACCTGCGTCCGCGACCCTGCGCATTCTTGCAAGAACCATCGTTTGTGCCACATTCTAATAACACGCGACCAAACGTGCCTCTCGCGCGCAAATGCCGAAATCACCCCCGCGCCCTGGCGCGCGCGCTGTCGCAAGATTTCAAAACCGAGTTCCCCGAAAACATATAGAACACGTGGCTTCGGGACACGAGTTTCCACGGAAAAACCTGCGCCCGCGACCCTGCGCATTCTGATAAGAACCATCTCTTGTGCCACATTCTAATATCATGCGACCAAACGTGCCTCTCGCGCGCGCGTGCCGAAATCACCCCCGCGCCCTGGCGCGCGCGCTGTCGCAAGAAACCCTTGCAACGGGAAAAGGGGCGAAGTGCGCGCGCGCGCCGTCGCGCGCGCGTGGCAAAACCTTTCAAACGCTTCAGGTTTCGCAGGGACGTCAAAACCGAGCGCCCCGAAAACATTCGGAACACGTGTCTTCGGCGCACGAATTTCCAAAGAAAGACCTGCGCCCGGGATCCTGCGCATTCTTGAAAGAACCATCGCTTGTGCCACATTCTAATGACATGCGACCAAACGTGCCTCTCGTGCGCGCATGCCTAAATCACCCCCACGCCCTGGCGCGCGCGCCGTCGCAATAACCCGCTGCAACGGGAAAAGGGGCGAAGTGCACGCGCGCGCCGTCGCGCGCGCGTGGCAAAACCTTTCAAACGCTTCAGGTCTCGCAAAGGGGGAATCAAACCGAGCGCCCCAAAATCACATGCAACGCGCGGCTTCGAAAACACATTTCCGCGAAAAATCTCGCGCCCGCGATCTTGCGATCTATTTTTTACAACAAAAAAATGCATCGGTTGCGCAGCGTTCTCGCGACGCGCGACCAAACGCGCCCCTCGCGGCCGCGTGCCTCGAGCGCCCCGGCGCGCGCGCCGTCGGCAGAACCCCTCGCGGCAGGAAAGGGGCGATGTGCACGCGCGCGCGCCGTCGCGCGCGCTCTGCGAATTCCAAAAGCTACAGGTCTCGAAAGGATTCAGAGCCGAACGCCCCGAAACACACATCAAACACGTGGCTTCGGAACACGAGTTTGAATTTGAAAAGCCATGCGCCCGCGACCCTGCGAGTTTTATAAGAACCATGGGCTGTGCAACATTCTCATGACATGCGACCAAACGCGCCTCTCGCGAGAACCCCTCGCAGCAGGAACAAGGGCGAAGTGCGCGCGCGCGCGTCGTCGCGCGCGCATGGCGAATTCCCCGGGCACTTCAGGTCTCGAAAGGACTTCAAACAGAGCGCCTCGAAAGCATGTGAAACAAGTGGCTTCGGAGTGCGAGTTGCCGAAGAAAACCAGCGCCCGCGACCCTGCGCATTCTGAGAACAAGCCGTCGTTTGTGCAGCATGCTCGCGACGTGCGACCAAACGCGCCTCTCGCGCGCGCGCGTCGGAATCATTTGAACGCCCCGGCGCGCGCGCCGTCGCAAGCACCCCTTGCGATAGGAGAGGGGCGAAGTGCACGCGCGCGCGTCGACGCGAGCGCGTGGCGACGCTCTCGAGCGCTGCAGGGTTCGCAGGGGGTTCAAAACCGAGCGCCCCGAAACAATGTGTAACGCGTGGCTTCGGCGCGCGAATTTTCACAAGACCTGGGCCTGCGATCCCGCGAATTCTTAGGGGGACCATCCGTTGTGCGACATGCTCATAACGCGCGACCAGACGCGCCTCTCGCGCGCGCGCCGAAATCGCGCGAACGTCCTGGCGCGAGCGCCGTC